TCAGGCAAATTTTCACTTAGGCTTTCTCAGGGCGTTGGCAATCAGTTCAGCACGCAATATCTTGAGTACCTGTTCCTCGGGTTCTCGTAGCTAGATTTGGCTGAAGCATTGCAGTACGTCGTGATCCGGACTCGCAATTTTTCAAGGTTAAGCAGCAGGGGGTCCAGGCAGTTGCGAGTTGTCCCTGGACCAACGAAGACGGACTCACAACTGGTGAAGCGAGAAGGGACGCCTTCTCGTGTACCTGCAGGCCAATTTTTAACTCATCGTTTCACCAGTCTTGAAGAAACATTGTTAAACATCTACAAGTCCTTCGACTTAGCCACGTTCCATCAAGTCAAGGGGAACTTCGTACTGGCAATAGCTCTTGCGAGCAACTCTCTAAGTGTGTTTCGCCACAGGGTCCCACTGAGGGCTGTGGTGTGATCCCCATCACGGGGCGCCGCGTGTGCACAAACCCAGATCCTGGGGGATCCACTCTGGCGCCGGAACCTCACTCTGAACACCCATTGAACGACCGTTCCGCGCGATACCACTGGTTTCATGCCGCAGGGCCTACTGTGATCAAGATCTGAAGATGCTTTCTGCTGAATCATGCTTCTAAGTAATCACCTGTACAGTCGTTCTAGGCAGGATTTCAGCACGCTACTAATCAGTTTAGGCAGGTCATGTTAGGCCAGATATACAAGCTCATCGTCAACTCCTTCCACTGCGACGCCATGAACTACCAGTGGGTTGCATGCACAAAGTGTACCTTCACCCTATGGTCCTACGTCGCAACCGACCTCTTTAACATCATATGGCGCAGTTCCTACCATGCAGTTCCCGGTGCCTCAGATTCCGTCGCTTCAACCAGTACTACCACATCCACAGCTTCAATATACCTCCCCGATGCTTCCCAACCGCAATATCACCTCACCTCCAACCCGTTCCCAACACTCACCTGGTTCAGATTCCATCCACAGTTCACCCAGCTGGATGTCCGGTACAACCACCCCACCCATCAGACCCGAATCCCACTCGGAATTCCCCCACCCTGATTGTCGCCCCACAATCCTACTGGCCACCTCATCCGCAAGCCATCGCGCAACATGCCGCTCCCACCAAACTCCACACCTCCCCCAGTTCCTACTCCGGTCCCAACCCTCACCCCTCCACCCATCTCCACTTCACCACCAGCCACCACTGAGCAGTCCCAGACCTCTCCTACAGCCGCTCCACAGACTGGCACCACTCCTCCATCAACCCCTGCACCTACGGCTCCTTCTCCCAGGACCACCACCACTCCGTATCACCGTCCCCACACCGCATCCACCCAAACAGCCGTCACACCCTGTCTCTACACCAACGTAACACCACCTCCACCCAAGGCCACGGTTCGGCAACGATCGACATTACTACCAATTCCACTATTGCTCCCACACGCTCCCAAGCTGCCGGTCCGAAACAACGTCCCCCTGCCAAGCCCCAACCGCCCGCAGGTCCACCACCCAAGCGTGGCATTTGGGCTCCACCACCATTGACCAGTTACAGTACCAATTACACTCCCAGAACTCGATCCCGATCCCCTCGCCGTTCCAACATTCGTCTTACTCCCAATCCCCAGCATTCAGATGACAACCCTTCCGGCTCTGCCCCGAATTCCACTACCACCTCACGCCCTAAGGGCATCCACGTTGCCACCAGCGACCGCACTGCAGCCGCAGAACCACATCGCAGACCATTCAATCCCTTGAGCATGACCACGCCAGTCACACCTACGGCAAAGACACTTTCAACCGTATTTTGCACTACCTTCATCACCAATGCGACCAGCTTGCCGAACGCAATACACCTATGCCCAATTATGTCGCCAGGATCCTCACCAACGCCGGCATCCTTGCAAAAGACCTAGAGCTTCTTGAGCAGTGGATCCACTCCTAACTGGGACAACGACATCAACGGCTACACTTCCACGGCATATTTCTCCCTCTACATCCCCCGCCTCCAGCACAAAAACCGAGTTGACCGCGTCCCACATCGTCGCAACCGGACAGACACCCAACACGGCACGGTGCATGTGTTTGCACGCCATGCCACGGAAGAAGGCAACCTTCTGAATCTCCTCCAGTCCGGGCGCTTCAAACCCAGTACACAGCACTCCGCCAAGGCCCAAGGTTTCTTTGCCCAAGGCTGTGAAACTACTGGCAAGCTGATCTACGACGCCTGGCATACAGCTCGAGTCATCGACAAGAATTGCCAAATGGCAAAGAACCGAGCGGGCATCATTCTTCACTGCATGGCATGGGGCACTGGCCAGAAGTTCACCCCAGGCGGTGAACCTGAAGGAGAACGCCTGATCGCGGCAAACCATGGAGTTGTCAAGCATGACAAAGGAAAATGCTACATCATCCATCCGGACAATTGCGTGATCCGTGGCATAGCTTGGGAATGTAAAGCGACACCCCCACAGTCTTTCTTGTGATACCTACCGCTGGCTGTGAGAAAAGAGTGCGATCTTGCTGCTTGCTCTCCGGCTATTTTCCCATTTGCAGTTTCCTTTTTTTCCCATTCCCCAGTTGAAGCACCTCAGAAGAAAGATATTCCCTTGACTCCTGCTGGAAGTTTCCCTACATACGTGGACTACGCCGACTACCTCCAAACACATCAGTATTCACTCCCGCAGTTCTGAGTGTTCGGTTTTCTATCCCCAACCTTCTCGCACGATTTGTGAGCTGCTCGCCATGGTCACCCGTTCCATGCTACCTGGCCCTCATCCGCAATGCGACCGCATTGCTCATTGTGTTTCCAATGTGGCCTCTACCCTACGACTGGCTGCCTCTTCACTGGATGAGATTCATGACATTCTCCGTGCACAGCCTCCGCTTGGTCCTACGATGAGCTACCCACCGGTCCTGAAAACTAATGGGTGTGCCACCCCTCCCGCCACCCCTCAATCCCCCCAATCCCCATCCCCCGGCACCACTCCACTTTAGTGGGAATCTTCGACCAATTGCGGCACAATCCCAACTTGATGCATCCACCAGTGACGACGACCCATCATTCCCCGATACCCCCCATGTTCCCCACATCCCCTCATCTTTGGATGACAGTGATTGTTCTCCACCTCCGACTAAACGGCCACGCACTTCTCGTCCTGCCAAAGCCAAAGCCAAGTCCCGCCAGTCCCGCAATTTGACACCACGTTCGGCACCTACCAGACGCCGCCTTCAACTATGTCAAGAACTTGCTGAAGATTGGGACTCTTGGGAACCATGGCAGGAGAAACAACTCGTCGACATGAAGAACAATGCCAAGCTACCCCCTAGCTGCGCGCGCGCGCGGGGGGGGGTAGGAGCCAAGGACGCTACTAGGGGCTCCTGGCATCGCTACTAGTAACAAGTGCCTTACTAGTAGTAACAAGTTACGAATTTAATTAGACTTGTAATTACTAAAAAAGGAATCTACTAGGACCTTTTCGCGCGCGGGCGCGCAAGGGGGGGGTAGGAGCAAAGGACGCTACTAGGAACAAGGGGCATCGCTACTAGGGGCAAAGGACGCTACTAGGGGCTCCTGGCATCGCTACTAGGAGCAAAGGACGCTACTATAAACAAAGCACATGTCGCCTGCGTCTGATCTGAGGAGCCGAGTAGCGTCCTTGCTCCTAGTAGCGAGGCTGGGAGCTCCTAGTAGCGTCCTTGCCTAGTCTGAAAGTAAGACTTAATATGTTCTATATTTATTGAATGTGGACAAATTGACTAAGATATCGGACACAACTGGAGAAGGTGGAAGGAAAGCTTCTTGTTCCTAGTAGTAAGGCCCTTTGCCCCTAGTAGTGTCCTTGCTCCTAGGTGCAGGAAAGCCAGTAAGATACACCGTGCATTTTGGGACAGTCGGCCTACTCTCCAAACAATCAGTCGCTGCGGGTCATTGATACGACTCCAACGATGGGTGACCTTGCAAGGCGTCCGTGCTTTTAGTTTCTGGAAGAGTTTCTGGTTAGATCTTTGGGGCACATCTGGTCAAGTGGTCGTTCTTCCCCTAAATGCTTCATAGGGCTTGGGCTTACAGCTGTAGCTAGCGCAACAGCCTGATAATCCAAACACACACCTCACATCGCGATCAAGCCTAAGGGTAAGTGTGTCAATAGTCTTTCCTATTCCTATTAGGTTGGAGGCCACTGCTTCCAGGTTGGAGGCCATTGCACTTAGGGTGGAGGCCGAGCGGGCCGAGCGCTTCATGCATTCACTACGGTTTTCCAGGCGACCGCTTGGCCCCTAAAGAAATTTAGGACGTCGTCACCAACCCGGTCGACTCGACGCTCACAGTTTCTATCGTTTGGACTCTTGAGCTCGGTTTGATTGAGTGCTGCAACAGTACAGCTTGCTGATGCAAGTGATGCCGCAAGTTGAAACTAACTTCAATAAATCGAAGATGGGATTGCTTTGAAGGCATGTAAATAGGGCGTGTAAAGCTACAGTCGATCTTCTATTTGCCCTCTTCTACCTTGATGGTGGATTCTTGTGGAAGTTACATCGGCCAATGAACTTCTTTGGAGAACGTAAAGACGAAGCCCGAGTTGTTGATAAACTGTCACTCAGCCAGCCCTGCGATGACGTGCCTGCAAACAAGACTTGGCCCGATCCAACTTCAGCACAGTCTCCGTGGCTTGTTTCAAGTCTCGCAAACGTCGGCGTCCCCGCCCACTAAAGCTCGCCAGCAGCTCTTGATTCAAAGGAATCTCCCGTGAAATCATCACATCTCGTCTTTCACGGAAATCTCGGTCACTTCTTTCGTTCATACTCATCGCGCTGAACAAGACGAGTGAAAGGACGATCTACGTGCACAGAAGTCTTGCCGAGACAGTCTCCAAACTCAAGTCCTTTCCCAAACCCTTGAGCCCAAGCCACGCAACACAAAAATGCAAGCATCAACAGCAGACTGAAACATGTCCAACGTTCATTGCAATTGTTTGCAAATAGGATGGAGGCCATCGCTGCAATTGTTTGCAAATAAGCTGCCACACACTTTAGCAATCCCGAAGGAACCACAGCAAGCTGCAATAATAAAGACTGTGTGGGCACCATGCCTCGGCGAGCGATCTTTATTGAATTGGATTTGTTCATTGTTCCTTTATTTTTCTTCACAACCCACTTGGCCTTGTAAATAGAAAACATGTTTGAAACTAAAATTCAACTTGGCTAAAGTGTGAATATTCTTGTACCCAGGCACACATAGGCGACAAAAGCACCTGAAAGCAGCAAACATGGCCAAATCCTTGCGCAATTTGTGCATAGCTGCCAATCGCGTCACGTGCTCAACGTTCATCTCACGTTCGTTTCTGGTCGTTTCTACTCACTAGTTTGTTTCAAACATCTTAGGAGGCCATCGTTATTAGGTTCCTTAAAGTATGTTTTGTCTTTCAAAATCATGTGCGATTCTTTTATCATTGTTTCTTATTTGCCTATTCTGTGACGTCTTTTATGACGGATGTACTTCCATCCAAAACGTCCTTCGACGGCCTAGGGCAGCACCTCATGGATAAAAGCAGAATGGCCGCCCTCGCCGATCTAAAAGGGTGCTTTTTGCATTGGAGGCCATCGCTACTAGTAGCTCCTGGCATCACTACTAGTAGCAAGGACGCTACGATCGGGGCTCCTGGCCCTACTAGTAGCAAGAAGCCACTAGGTTGGAGGCCATCACTAGTAAAAATAGCGGAAGTCAAAGAAAAACAACGACTTGTTCGCCCAAGACCCGTGCGTGCCAAGATGTGGCCAATCGCAGCCAAGGTCAAGAGTGGCATCACCTTTCGGAACTCCCTCCTGAGTCGTGGAGCCAAAACATGCAGCTGACAGTGGAGGGAAAACATGCAAAAGCTTAGCCCTACTAGCGATGGCCTCCACCCTGAGAATATGCAAAAGCTGAACATTGAATAACAATTGTCAGGTTCTCAGCAACCTGCCATTGAATGTCGGAGAGGTCCATCGGGTGCCTAGCTCCAAGAAGTCAGATGAAACAACACACTAGCTTCTAGGAACAAGAAGCCGAAATCATTAGAATTAATTTAATAGCTTCTTGTTACTACTAGTCAGGCACTTGTTACTAGAAGCGATGCACTTGTTACTAGTAGCGATGCAAAACAAAGTGGAGATGAGTGTAGATGAAAACGAGTGCCGGTGATAGTCAGTGAGTGTAGAAGTGTAGAACTAGTAACTAGTTTCTTGCAGGGTGAGTTCCTCAAGGAGGCCGAGAAGTTTGCTTCAAGAACCCTCGCGGTCTTTTCTTCGGGGGTAGCCGGAGAGGTGGTAAGGTGGTAGGCTTAAGCAACTTAAGTAGCTAGTAGTAAGGGGTAACTAGTGGTTGGAGGCCATCGCTCTTAGGTTGGAGGCCATCGCTCGTAGGTTGGAGGCCATCGCTTCTAGATTGGAGGCCATGGCTCCTAGGTTGCAGGCCATCGCTATTGGTTCGAGGCCATCGCTACTAGGGTGGAGGCCATCGCCTATTAGGTTGGAGGCCATCGCTTCCTCGATTGTTTCTTTCTCCTCTGTCTATCTTGAAGCTCCTTCTGGACTGAGCACATGCACTGTGCAAATCTGGCCCTGCATTTGGTCGCAAAGTGGCTCAGGCCAGAAATAGGAGGCATGAAGGTAGGACGCACACCTCTCCAACAAGGGCCAAAGTACAGTTGACCACATTGTATGTGAGTGACTTGAACGAGACAAAGAACATACATGAATAAACCACATGTTGCCAAAGAAAGTGATCAAAATGCCTCCCTTCGCCTCCAGCTTCTAACCTTTCAGCCCTGATGTCATTCCATATGTACTTCGTTGATGGCTTTCTTGACATGCTCAAAAAACAGTAACACGCCCGTCTTTGTTGTTGATACCCTTCCAAAGTCTTTGCTCAAAACAGTGCGGACCTTCTTTCGTGTTTGCACATCTCTGCGAGTTCTGCAGCAGCATTGGGAAGCTTCCAGCAAAAACCTATGAAAAGTATCGCATACCACCTTAGCTCTGCTCACCAGCACGTTATCGTGAAAGTGTTGTCTGAATCAAAAGTAATGCAAATGATGAACACTACTAGGAGCAAGAACGCTACTAGGGGCTCCTGGCCTTACTACTAGGAACAAGAAGCTACTAGGAGCAAAGGGCATCGCTACTAGGAGCAAGGACGCTACTAGGGTGGAGGCCATCGCTTTTAGGTTCTTCTGGTTACAATCTTCGAACGTTTTATTCAAACGTTCACCCATAACCCCAGCAAAGCCCTGAACCTTTGGAACTGGACCTCTCGCGTTCAGTGTGAATACCAATTGCACAATTTCGATCATTGTGCCTTGCTGTACAAGAAATTGGGGTGAACTGCCTGTAGTGAGACCTTTGCTTGGACGCTTTACTTGAGATCAGGATTTGTTTACATATTTGCTTGTGAAACTCTCTCCTCTACATGAACATTCTACTCAGAAATTTGCAGCGAGGCACCTCGGCTTGAAACCTCGACACTCGGTACCCCATCTGGGTACTGGATGGACCTTTTTATCACCTTCAACCACCAGTGACCCTCGACCAGGGTCGCGTTTTCCCGGATCAACTTGTCACCAACGCCTCATTCAGTTCCCCAGTGCGACCTGCTTGCATACTGCGTTGCTACTTAAAATGTGTTCAGCGGATTCTTGATTGGTTTCTACAGTTTTTGGTAAAAAAAGAAATGGACGCGTTTTGGTTCAGGACACGCAAATCCTGAAGATGTGAACCCAGCTTCACACACGCGGGTAATTTGGTTAAATGGTTGGCTGGGTACATTGATGTGACTAGCTGGCTGATTCCGCAGGATCTTCTTGATTCCACAAGCTACTTTGATAGGTGGCGGCACACACCTGGAATGGTTCAATAGACTTGTGTTCCTTTCTTATTCGCCTGTGTAGGTTTTGTGAGGGTCATCCACTCAATCCTTAACACTACTAGCGATGGCCTCCAACCGCCCCTAGCGTCCTTGCTCCGTTCGTAGCGATGCCCTTTGTTCCTAGTAGCTTCTTGCTCCTAGTAGTAAGGCCAGGAGCCCCGATTTGGTTTCAGACTGCGCAGGTCTTTTGTACCTGCCCCGCTTTTGCCCTTCTGCTCGGTCCCTGTTTTTGCACCTTTGTGGGCCTCTCAACTGTTGTCTTGTTCCTAGTAGTAAGGCACCTGTTACTACTAGCGTGGCACTTGTTCCTAGTAGCTTCTTGTTACTACTAGTAAGGCACTTGTTACTAGTAGCTTTTGCAAAAGCTATGCAGATTCTGCAAACATAACGCGTTGCGACAACCAAAGCTCATGCAGCAGTCTCACACACATGCCTACGCGATGGAAGGGACACACCTTCACCAGGAAGCAATGTATGTGTTCAAGGCGTTGACCATCCACTTTCAAGTTAGCATAGTCTTAAACATGCTTAACTCGAAAGAGTTCTTCAAGCTCTTGGAGGCCATCTTTTTTTTGTAAAAAACTGTTGTTCGGTTCAAGCTGTGATGTCCAATCCCACTTCACAAATAGGAGGCTTCGTCGAAAGAAAAGGGAAGAGCAGGGATGCTAAAGGGCGAAAATGCCTTTGGCGTTCCGAGGACATTGAAATGTGACCTAGTAGAAACAAGTGCCTTACTAGTAGTACCAAGAAGAATTTAGTTAGAATTGTAATTAATAGAAATGCGACCTTTGGACCTGTTATTGAAAATGCCTTTGTATGTCCTTTGGACCTTCCTTTCTTTCTTCTGTTCTTCTTTAGACCTTTAGACTGTTTCTTTTTGATTTGTGTTCTTTCGACCTGTTCGTTAGACCAGTCCTTTCTTTCCTTTTTCCGCATATTTCTGTTTACACTGACAAAGGACACTGTCTGAACTCTTTCCGCCCAGTGACAAAAAGAATTCAACGGTGCACCACCGAGCCATTGCACCGAGCCGGTGAACCCGAGCGGGTTTTCACCGAGCCATGGGTTTTCTGAAGCCAAATGCTGCCAGAAACATGAGAAAAAGTTACTAGTAACAAGTGCCACGCTAGTAGTAACAGGTGCCTTACTAGTAGTAACAAAAAGCTATTAGAATTAAAATAGAATTAAATTAAATTAACTACTAGCTTCTTAGTTACTACTAGTAAGGCACCTGTTACTACTAGCGTGGCACTTGTTACTAGTAGAAAAAGTGGCCCCTTCCAACGCACCTGATGTTGAAGACCTGTCACAACTATCATCGCAAACCCATTGCAACCGAACAAAGCATGTTAAATTCACCCTGCAAAAACAGGTCCATGGCTACTACGAAGTTGTGAAAGCTGTCAAACCATTGTCCAAATTTGGTTTTCCCCTTGACATCTTACAGTTGTCCAGTCGGGGTCCAATTAGTGCTCAAGAAGAGTTGTAAAAAGGCTTTGTCACGCCGTCACGCCTTTCAGGCTGCGTTCTCAAGGCAAAAGTTTGTTGAGAATCCTGATCTTCTTGTTACTACTAGTAAGGCACTTGTTACTACTAGCTTCTTGTTACTACTTGTTCCAAGTTGGGATGGTGCGCGTGAAGAATCTCCAACAAAAACTCTTGGTCGCTTTATGGGTTTGCCTTCGATGCTGATCGTGAGTTTTTGCAGAACATGTTCCCATCGCTCTTAGGTTGGAGGCCATTGCGCTTAGGTTCGCTATTTGAATGGAGGCCATTGCTACTATGGTGGAGGCCATCCCTCTTAGGTTGGAGGCCATTGCCGCTTTCAGCGTTTCGCTGCATTCTTCAAAGACTGGGTGCCTTGGTGAGCGCCGATTGCATAAGTAAACCCAACTCCAGTTGATCAACATGGTCTGTGGAGGCGTTTAGCTGTGCCTTTTCACCAGTACAAGAACGCTTGCAAGCTCCTTGCAGAAGCTTCTTGTCAGATTGAACTGCGTCTGCATCCACCTTTTGCATGATTCGCTTTGAGAAATATTCACGAGCAATAAGTTTGTACCAGCACAAAGCACTCTCTTCAATCTTCTGCATCTTCTGCATTGCAGGGTCTGCAGCCAAAAACATCCATTGCGGCGTTTCAGCGCTAAAAGCTTTCCATTCAGGAAGAAGTTCAGCTCTGTTCGGATCATTGGGATCTCCATAGTGGGCAAAGTTTCCGAGGTAAGAGGCCATGATACCTGAAGGAACAAGCATCGCTACTAGGAACAAGTGCCACGCTAGTAGTAACAGGTGCCTTACTAGTAGTAACAAGAAGCTACTAGGAACAAGGTTCGCTACTAGGAGCAAAGGGCATCGCTACTAGGAGCGATCGGACGCTACTAGGAACAAGTGCATCGCTTCTAGTAACAAGTGCCTTACTAGTAGTAACTAAGAAGCTACTAGGAACAAGGTTCGCTACTAGGAGCAAAGGGCATCGCTTCTAGGAGCGATCGGACGCTACTAGGAACAAGTGCATCGCTTCTAGTAACAAAAAGCTACGAACGGAGCTCTTCTGGCCATGATACTGGAAAGCCTTTTAGATCCAGATCCTCCAGTACCCCTCCAAAACCTGATGTCACTTCCATGGGAACTTCTCTTGGAACCTGCAAAGCAGTAAAGAAACACATCATTTCGGCCATGCAAAGCAGTCATCTCGGCCATACAGTATGTCCCTGCAAAATACCATAGATCATTGCTCAGAAGGCTCAATGATTTGTGCACAGCGTGCGCTTCCGACAAATCCGGAAGACTGCTCCAATAATGCGAGAAGACTTCTTCGGCTTTATCTCCAAACTCCTCTTGCAAAAGCTCCTTGAAGTCAGCTCGGCTGCGTACATCGTGCAAAAAGGTCTGCTCCAACTCGCATTTTCCTAAGCCATCATGCTCCGTGACTCCCAATAGAACGGGGACACGATGAAAATGTCCTCCCATCAGAGCCTCCATCGATGACATCGGCTTGACGGCATTCCTTGCTCGATTGATGGCCGGCTCATAACAATCCGCAGCAGCTTCGCAGAAAGTCTTTTGAAGAATCTCCTCCGCAGCAGGGCGGAGGCCATCGCTACTAGGGTGGAGGCCATGGCTACTAGAAACAAAGAAATAAGAAAAGGAAGAATTGCCATCTACTAGGAGCAAGGACGCTACTAGGGGCTCCTGGCCTTACTACTAGGAGCATCCTTACTACGAACGGAACAAGAAGAATTGCCATCTCCTCCACCTTTGTGGAACGCATCGCAGACAACTGACCTGCACCCTCGATTCCTGTTATCTCCTGGCAGGGTGATTACACATGGTGAATGTTTGCCTTTTGTCTGAGAAAGGATATGCCAAACATCTTACACGGCCCCCGGCTTGGGCAGTTGAAGGTGCTTCATCCTTTGTTTAATCAGTTGAAATTGTCCGCTCCTTGCAAACAGCTTGGCCCCAATCCTCAGCGGTCTTGCCGAGCCACACTTTGCAGCTTCCATGAACTTGACGAACGTTGTTCAGATCTGTGCAGCTCTGCACCACTGCTCGGTGGAACAAGTCTTCCGCCGCCGGCGAGACCAACAAGTTGCACACGTATTGAGCACCCGAGGAAAGACCCCAGAGGGTGACTTTCCCTGGGTCACCTCCAAAAGCAGCAATGTTCTGCTGGATCCAACGAAGTGCAGCAATTTGATCCAGAATCGCGTAATTCCCAGACCCTGAAAGCCGATCAGAATCTTCACCATGTTCTTCATGTTCTTCTCTTTCTGCATCTTCAGCTGACAAGTCTGGATGGGCGAGAAACCCAAGAATGCCCAAGCGATAGTTGATGTTCACACAGCAAAGACCTCATCTTAACTTCATATGCACGTACTTGTTTCACACAAAAAAAACACTTGCAATCTTGGAAAAATTGCTGTACAGTGAGCACTGCAAGACCTTGTCAGTACATTGACAACTAAATATGATTATTGCAGAGTAAAGATTGGACGTATTGAAAAATCAGGGAGGAGTAAGTTACGTCCGCGCAAGCAAGGCTATCACAAGGCGAGTGTGCTCTCTCTCTCTCTCTCTCTCTTGCGTTTTGGCTTTTCTGGGCGCTGCAACCCAAGAAATGCCATTCATCTGGCACTTTTGCGTCTGTCTACTAACTTTTGTAGATCAGTGGCCCTGCCTTCGATTCGCAATCTTTTTGTACACCTGTGTTTATCCGAATGAAGCTTGCGCGAGGCCATTGGAATCAGCGTGTTGCGTGCATTGCAAACAACCGATCAGGAAAGTTAACTCCGCATGATTTTGTTCAGAATGAGTCAGTCCTTGAGACATTTCCATGCGTAACAAGGTTCGCTACTAGGAACAAGTGCCACGCTAGTAGTAACAGGTGCCTTACTAGTAGTAACAATGTTCGCTACTAGGAACAAGTGCATCGCTTCTAGTAACAAGGTTCGCTACTAGGATCTCCAAATGAGTCAGTCCTTGAGACATTTCCATGCGAGTAATTACTATAGCCTATAGCCATAGCCCTACCCTTTTCGATCTGTTTCCCAAACTGTGCAAAAAACAAAAAACAAAACCGCTCTGGCGTCCTCTGGTCAGTTTCTATACGTGAGCAATGTAGACAATCTATCTTTGTTCCTGTTCCTGCCATTGTGTCACCCCTTTAGCCTTCATACACACAGCTTGAAAATGATTGGAGATCGATTTTGTATGTATGAAAGCGAGATTGAGTGATGCGCCTTCTTTGGAGGCCATCGCTATTGGATTGGAGGCCATCGCTACTAGGATGGAGTCCGAGCCTTGATTTTTAAACTGAAACAAACATGAAGCTACTAGTAGCTCCTGGCATCGCTACTAGGAGCAAGAAGCTACTAGATGCTACTAGTAACAAATGGCTTTCTCCTTTCTCCTTTTGGACTCCGTGCCTTGCTGCGCAGCCAGCTGGTGTCCACTTTCATGTACACTGTGAGCCGAATGGGACTTGCCACCACCGCCGTGAATATAGACCAACACTGGACAAAGAGATTTGCGATCTTCGAGAGGTGTCGTGTGGCCATCGCCATCGCTTGTAGGTTGGACAGCCTTGAGAGGTGTCCAAATGTTGAGCTGAAAAGGGCCTTCCTCCTCGTCATCAAAGGAACAAGGACGCTACTAGGGACTCCTGGCCCTACTACTAGGAACAATGTTCGCTACTAGGAACAAAGGGCATCACTACGAACGGAGCATTCTTACTACTAGTACCTAGAAGCTACTAGCAACAAGTGCATCGCTTCTAGTAACAAGTGCCTTACTAGTAGTAACAAGGACGCTAGTAGTAGCATTCTCCTCGTCATCAAGGACCTCCTCACCCTGTGGGCCTCGCCCTGGTGGGCCTGGCTGAGGACAGCGCACCAAACGTCGGGACACGGACGGCGAAGCCGTCGACGGCTTGGGCGCCTTCGCAGGTGTCCACCTTCGCAGGGTTCAAATCACAAACGAATGGCCTCGATGGCCTCCAACCTAATAGCCTTCTTGTTACTACTAGTAAGGCACTTGTTACTAGTAGCGATGCACTTGTTCCTAGTAGCTTCTTGCTACTAGTAGCGATGCCAGGAGCCCTAGTAGCGTCCTCTTGCTCCTAGTAGTAAGGCCAGGAGCCCCTAGTAGCTTCTTGTTCCTAATAGCGATGGCCTCCACCATCAGGCACGTTTTCAGAAGAACACAGAGACATTATTGTTTAATGACCCGAGGAAGCTGGAACATTCTCCCGTCTGGCTGTTGTGTTCCAAACCTCAATGAAACTTTCTCGAATTTCACACCTCTGTTCGCAAGCAGCATATGGGATGCCCAGAAAGCTGGCCACGCCCTCATGAATTGCACCCTGATACTTCCCTTGCTTCAAACAAACTACACTCTGCTGAGGCTCCTCAGCACTCCCAGTCTTTCCGCTGCTTTCACCCTTTTCGCACATCGTCCGCGTCGTCCTCTCCACAGGTTTCACCTTTTGATTCCCACCACCATATCCATCAACTCTGTCTCTCCGAGGTCCATCACCAAGGTCCATCGCTGAGAAACGCGAGAACACTTCTCCATTCTGTTGGGCGAGAAGGAACGTGAAAAACGCCAGCGAAACAGTTCTTGCGCACAAAGCTCTTTTGGCTTTACGAGCCATTCAAAGCTTTCACAGCAACTGGGTTGATTCTTTCCTGCAAACCATCACCAGCACAAGCAAACAAGGAAAACCGACCAATTCAATCCTTCCTCCGAAACAAATTTATCCTCAAAACATGCAAGGAACAAGGACGCTACTAGGGGCTCGTGGCATCGCTACTAGGAACAAGAAGCCACTAGGGGCTCCTGGCCGTACTTGGAACCTTCCTTCGAACCGTCGTTTCCGAATTTGATGAATCCAAGAGACTCGGAAGATCGGCATCTTTCTACTAGGAACAATAAAGCTAGTGTGTCTTTGAAGCTTCTTAGTAAGAAGCTACTAGGTTGGAGGCCATCGCTAGAAACAAAGGAACGGTCTATTCTAATTTGCTATTACCCGCTCCTGGCCTTACTAGGAGCAAGGACGCTACGAACGGGGCTCCTGGTCTTGCTAGGTTGGATGCCATGAAACCTAAGAGCACTCCTAAGAGCCGTCTCTGTGATAGACATTGTCTCCCGAACTCCCAGACTCCGAGCAACGTCGAGTGGTCTTTTTTGCATCGATGCTCGATCTTGTCGAGTCATTCTCAGCACCGCGGGGGTCGATGCCTTACAGGTTGGAGGCCATCGCTATTAGTAACAAGAAGCTACTAGGAACAAGTGCATCGCTACTAGTAACAAGTGCCTTACTAGTAGTAACAAGAAGCTACTAGTAACAAGTGCATCGCTACTAGTAACAAGTGCCTTACTGGTAGAAACAATAAGCTACTAGTATGTTCCCCTAAAAATCCTCTTGACCAATTCATTAGTGCGAGAGCTTCTTCAAGGAAGCTTCCCCCGCCGCCTTGAAGAAGCGCGAGCTAGCCTGTAGCTACTAGCTACCTCACCTCCTAGGTCCTACCTCCCCTTTAAACAAAAATAAAAAAAATATATATAAATCTCTATATATATATATGTGTTTTTATGTATCTGTTCTTTTCTCTCTTTTGGCAAATGCATTCCAAGATGCAAACGGTCTGTTTTACCTCAGAGGCTTCGCTTCGTCGCTTTGCAGGTCACACTCTGACTGCGTTGCTTCGCTTTGCTTCGTGCAACGAAACACATCGCACCAAGGTGCCTCCCCCGTGAATCACTGCAAGAGCTGCGGCCTCAAACTCTGTCTTCTCTCTGAACAAGTCGCAACTCTTCAAAATGACCTTTTCACAAACCAGTCGGAAAAGTGAAGAGACGCTTTTGGTACCAGTACATGTTCCGTACTTTTGGTCGAGTGGTGTTTCAAGGGTCTGAAGGGAGTTCTGAGGCCAAAGGTGGAGAGCAGCAGGCAAAGAGTTAAATGCGTATCCTTCGCCACCAATTCGTGTTTTTTCCGTTCTGGATCTTGAACAAACTTCAGGTTTCAGCCTCGCTTTCTTCGTCGGCCTCACAAAAAGAGCAGCGTGATGTGGACCAAAAACATCTTGAATGCAAGGACGCTACTAGGGGCTCCAGGCCGTACTACTAGGAGCAAGGACGCTACTAGGCTTGTGATCTTGCCTTCTTTCCTCTTCGGACTCCTGGCGGACATGAAGATCGATGGCCTCCAACCTACACTGGGGTGCCGAAAGTTGCGCATCTTGACTTCTAAAACGGGACAAACCCTTTCCCCTTAGAATCCTACGTGCAACATATCGACACCTAAGTTGCGGTCAGATGTCCACACCTCAAAGCCTTATAAGTATTATAGATTTAAACGGGTGTGGAAATCTGACCGTGTTGTACCTGCCAGGCAAAATGGACGTGCCAATCCGATCCGCTGTAGACCGCAAGTGCCATGTTGGAACAGAGTAAGAAGCGTAAACTTTAGGGTTCTTGAAGTAGCGATGACCGCCAACCTAGTAGCGATGGCCTCCAATACGAATCGGTACAATTGAAGTCTCTCAAGGAACACCCATTTTTCCTGACATTTTGGTTTTTAGAACACCGTAAAAGCTTCTGCTCTTAACACCGTAACGCATTCTTGAAAAGCAAAACTCCATGAAAGCGCCCGCAAAGCCTTGGCCGGGAGCTACGCGAACTGCGACCTGAGGAAATCGTAAGTTGCAGAATCAGCTTGCAATACAAAAGTAGCTACTAGAAACAGGTGCCTTACTAGTAGTAACAAGAAGCTACTAG